CTTTTCCCATCGTGCTGACTCTTCTCTTTTCCGCCAGTGGGTGTCATAGCGGACCTTGAACACCCCAAAGGACCTCATCGTGTTACGCGCAAAATGAATGAATCAGAGAGCTGTGTACATTGGAGAAGGAGGGGGGGAAAAAGAGGAGAAGGAGGAGGAGGAGGAGGAGGAAGAAGAGAAGGAAGAGGAGTAGGTGGCGGATCCGCAGAGGAGGATGAGCAGGACGAAAAAAGGGAGAAACAAAAAAATGAGGAGCGAGGAGGACGAGGAACTGCAGCGACAGGAGCAGGAGGCGCGGGAGGAGCAAGAGGGCCATGGGGAGGCGGGGAGAGGCAATGCAGGGAGAGCGAAACGACGAGAGAAACACGTGGCCCGCGCTGGGGCGAGAGCGCGCCCGTCGGGACGACGCGAGCACATGCGCCGGTCCTAAAAAAGGAGGCCAGCGCCCCAACCTACATATCCTAAGGCCTCCGAGGGAGGGGGGAGGAGGAGGAGGAGGAGGAGGAGGAGGAGGAGGAGGAGGAGGAGGAGGAGGAGGAGGAGGAGGAGGCCATTGTCGAAAGGATCGAGCACGTCCGGATGGAAAAAGCACATGGGGAGAGCAACACCCCTCGGAAGCATCCCGTGTTGCAGAAAGTGCGAGGGGGGAGGTGCGCCGTGGGCCACCTCTCGTGCTCGCACTGTAGGAACTGTGGAGGCTCCGGGGAAACTTCGGAGACTGGATCTGATCGAGGGGCCCGTCGTCATCGTCGTCGTCGTCGTCGTCGTCGTCGACGTCCTCGTCGTCGCCGTCGGCGTCGCGAATCGTCGTGCTCGTCGTCGTCCTCGCCGCCGAGGCCCACCGCCGCCCGCCGGATGCCCAGGGCGAAGCGATCACGAAGGCAAGCTTTTCATAGGGCCCCAGGAGCCCAGGCAACACAAACTTCAGTGGCACCTCATAGGAGCCTCCCACACCATCCTGTTGGCTCTTGCGAACCGATGCTCGTCGCCACTACATCGACGCTAACCCAACACTGTCTCATCGATTGCCGGACGCTGGCGCGCGCTAATGCACCCCAACAACGGAATTCCGAGGACATACCGTGCTCCAATGATCTGCTGCCGAGTGACCAGGGGGGGGGAGGGGGGGGGATCGCCACCAGGGGCGGTCACCACCGCCTCCTGGAAGTCGAGGCTTGGGGAGGAGGGATGATCGAGGATCGGGGAGGTTTTGAGCGTGTTTAGCCATGCTGGCCAAGCCTTGGGGGGTTACAGGCTGAGGGGTCCGTCGTTTCCTGGATGAGGGGTGTCACCAGCTCCACCAGGACACGGCGTGGATGATGATGCTGATGATGATGATGCTGATGATGATGATGCTGATGCTGATGATCATGCTGCTGATGATGGTGATGATGATGATGCTGCTGATGATGATGATGGTGATGCTGATGATGATACTGATGGCAATGATACTGATGATAATGCTGATGATGACGATGATGGCGGTGGTGGTGATGGTGATGGTGATTATGCTGCTGTTGATGACGACGTTGGCGATGACGATGAGGACGACGACGACGAGAACGACGATGATGATGATGATGATGATGCTGATGATGATGATGATGATGATGATGATGATGATGATGATGATGATGATGGTGATGATGATGACGATGACGATGACGATGGCGCTGATGATGCTGCTGATGATGATGATGCTGATGACGACGATCGTGACGATGGTGCCGATGAGGCAGACGACGAAGTGCGCGTTTGCTCAACATCTGAATGAATCACATCACAGTGCCAAAGAAATCAGTGTTGATGTGTGTGTGTGTTGAAGAGGTCGATCTTGGAGCGCTTGCAGTACATGCAATTTTGTACACACTTCGCCATCCGCGCGCGAGGTCTCACGCATGTGGCTCACATGGTGATGTGTGTAGGGTTCGTTATAAAACGCGCCTGTTAGATCAGCGCGTGCTCACCGCACCGCGCTATCTGACAGGGATGGTGGAGCTGTCGATGCTGTTCGGTGGTGGATGGTAGTTTTTTGGATATTTATGATGAGCAGTCGTGCGCAATGAATATGAGACGGCAGTCTGCGGAAGGGATGCGTTCGGTCTGGCCTCGGCATGTGGGGCAGCGTCTACTTGTCTCGAAAAGAAGGACCTGTGGTGTGCAATCGACGGGAGGGGTTGTATCGGTAACACTAGGTCGGGCATGTCCCCCTACAGGCGGATTTTGGACGAACAAAAAAAACATACCCCACACACATTCAACATATAATCAAAAATAATCAAAACGTCGTCCCCAGAGTAGGTTTTTTTTTGTTTTGAATAATCTTCCTGTAGAGGGACAGGCCCGACTTAACGGTAGCATGAAAGAAAGGGATCTGAGGAGGGGGTCCTGGATGTGTTTCTCCCTTTTCGGGCCCATTGGGGCCCTCCACGGGCCCCGGGACTCTCAAAGCACGGCTCAATGTGGAGAGCTGGTCCTGGGGAACACCCCCGGGTCTAGGACCCGTTTCCCTCAGGACCCCCTCCTCCATAGCGATGTACGGGAGGGACCATATCGGCTGGTCCGTACCACCGTGTATGCATACATGCTTTTATACGCATATTCATATACACATGTATACACATATATATATATATAGATGCTATCTGTGTATATATATATATAAAAGTATGTAGCAAAAAGGTAGAATCATTGGGGGACCGTATCAGCTGCCCAGAAACATAACACATCCTTAGGTGAACCTACAAGTCGACTGCTACTAAAAGAAACCTTGGAAGGGCCAAACGTTTGACCACAGGACAGGACAGGACACTCCCGCGCGTGGTCACTGTCAAGGGTGCTGCGGGTGTGGCGCTGGAACGCCGCTCAGCGTGGCGATCTTCACAGCATGGAGAAACTTAGAGGAAGAGGACAAAGAGGAGGAGGAGACGAGAGGCTATCCGCTTGGCCCGCTCAGTCGCGGTGTCGGACGAAACCTGGGCCCAGTGTATCCCAATCTTCAGTTGATGCTCTGTAGAATATCCGCAATCCCAACCTCACGCCCCAAAGCATGCCCAATATAATTCCTTACGTCGTCAGCCCATCTGGCTTTAGGTCGCCCAGCTTTGCGCTTCGCCGTGTAGACTGGTTCGAGTTGTGGGCTCCACTGGATCACTTGCCGCGTCCATTCCCGCTCGCCTGTAGTACTCAGATTCTGTATCCACTGCCATTTTCGTTGGCGCACGGTGGACGCCCAACTGTTGATACGTAGTAGGGTTATTGTAACTTCGGCTTTTTGTGTCGCCCCCTTAATCCATTATACCCAAGGTTCCAAATATTCGGCCGTTTCTTTCTCATCATCTGCTGGTGTAGGTTCCGGCTGCACGCCGTCCACATCACAACCATCGTCATCGTCGTCGCTGTCGAGGTTCTGGTGGTCATTTTGGCTGCTTGACCACACAATAGGGACATCTTTCCACGAACCCAATGATTTGAAATAAATCTGCAAACGCAGAAATCCTCATCGCCGCGTGCTGCCAGTCATACGGGAAATCCGACCACCTGGGGTCACTTTACCAGACAAGTAACATTCCGTTCAACGCAACCACAGCTTGAGGGAACATTGCAAGAAACCATGGGCCTGCTATCGAACAAAACATGTTCGGCAATTGAGCCTACCACCTCGAGGTTTCCTGCGCTCGTTTGGTGAAGTCCTCAACCCCTTCTCTGTCGTCGGACGCGGAAGGGGATGATAGTGACAAGACGGCAACGCGCGTGCGCTGGCTGGAACAGGCACGTCCAGACTTGCTGTAGCGCGCCGGGTCGAATAGCGAACCGAGATCGCCCACCGACGCCACGGGTCTCGAGCCGATGTGCAGCCATCGTGCTGCCATAGCGCTGGACATGGAGCGAAAGGGGCTTTCTGGCCACGGCGAGACTCGGGCATGAACACGTTCCCCGACCTGAATCTCAGGAACGGCCCGAAAACCAGAGCACCTCCCGAGCCCCAAGTGGTCCTTTTCTCAGAGTCTTGACTCTAGCACACACAGCTCGAACCTCACGATGGTGTGGGGTTGCAATTTCCCGAATCCTTCCGGGAAAGTACGCCACTTCGGGCTCCTCACATGCGAGCGCCTCGCGCACGGGACTGTCCGGAAAAGTTAGAGACCATGTCTCGCATCCGCTCGGGTCCTCCTTGCCGAGACGGAAAGAAATTCCCCTGTCACGTTCAGAACTCTCGAGCAGGCCTGCGAGCAAGCACCATAGCCTGATGTGCTTCAGAGCTGCAGCGGTGGCAAACCAAATGTTCCCGAGTGCACAATCTTCGTCTTCCAGCTCCATATCTCCCGCCCCTCCGCCTCCTCCTTTCTCCTCTCTTCTCCTCTTCTCCATCCTTGCCCTCCCGGCCTCGTTCGCCCTAATGCCTAAAGTTACTCCTCCTCTCCTGCTCAGCATGCTTATGCCGCTGCTCCTCCTCTTCCTCCTCATCGTGATCCTTCCCCTCCTTTTGCTGCATTTCCGCATCCTCCCTCCTACTCGTGCACCTCCCCTCCTGTCCTGTTCCTCCCTCTCACCCTTCACGATCTCATCCCCTCCTCCTCATACTTCTCCGTTCTCGTCCCCGTCTCACCCCGTCATCATCCACCTCCCTCTCTTTCGCCTCCTCCGCTTCCTCCGCAGGCTCCTTTTTTGGCACTGGGCGAACATGAGCTCCGTAGCGGTAGCGTTCATCCCCCCCATGGATGAATGGATGACTGGCCAAAAGGGGTGTCATACAGGCGCAAAAGCTCTTAGAACCGAAATTACGCCATGGCTCATCCCCCCTCCTCCTCCTCCTTCTCCTCCTCCTCCTCTTCCTCCTGCTCCTC